CCCAGCATCTCAAGTCTCTGTCCGCTGGCCCCAGCGAGGACATTGATCATGACATCATGCGACACCGCTACGCGACTATCTGGTCGCTCTGCGAGTCGCTGAAGCGCGATGAAAACTACCAGCAGATCCTCGAGGCTACTCTTGGGCTCATCTTCTTCCAGTGCGTCGTTGGCCGCTCGTCAAACGAGGAGCTGCTCGACATTGCGTGGCACCAGCACTTCCAAGCTGCCATCAACCTGGTGACCAAGCTGGACCTCCCCCGTCAAGTCTTGGACCCTGCCACGCCGATGATGCAGACTCCGTTCAACATGACCCTGACCGCCTGGATTGACATCCTTGGCGCCACCATGCAGGGAACATCCCCTACCTTTGCACACACGTACCGCGAGAAGCACCTGTCTCAAGCGAATCCATACATGGGCCTGCGCGAGCTGATGGGCTGCGAGGACCGAGTCATGTATCTCATCTCTGAGATTGCCTGCCTCGAGTCTCTCAAGCGAGACGGCATGGATGATTTCACTCTCTGCCAACATGTTTCCGCCCTAGGCGAGCAGATTAGCCTCACCGAGGTCAATGAGTTTACGCCCAGGATGCCCTACAACGCCAACGGCACACTGTCGCCCAAGCAGCTTTCCAAGAACATCACCGCCGCCTTCCGCCTGGCGGCGCGCATTTACCTGTGCAGCTTGGTGCCTGGCTTTAGCCCCGAGCAGCACTCGCCGATGGGTCTGGTTGATAAGCTTACCAATGTCTTGCGATTTATCCCGTCGGGCCCAGAAGGGTTTGACCGCAGCTTGGTCTGGGTCTACCTCTTGTGCGGCTCCATCAGCCTGCCCGGCTCCGAATTCCGTGCCCTGTTTGAGGAGCGTGTTGCGCAGCTCGGCGAGCAGGCCAACTGTGGCTCTTTTGGCCGAATGGTCATGGTGCTGCGTGGCCTCTGGCTTCACAACGACAACTTGTCGAGGCTCGGCACTCCCGAGAGCGCCGGCTCCGATGTTCCTCAGCAATATCTCCACTGGAGAGATCTCATGCGGATGCAGAACATGGACTACCTGCTCATGTAAGGCGAACTTGGCATATCTCTACAAGCTGGTCTCTGAGGTGCGACAAGCACAAGAGCCTGTTTGAGCAGCCAGTGTTCCATGTTCTTCCTTTTCCACCACAAAGGCAAAGCAGGCATTTGCCAACCTTCATTTCTCTTATTACCCTTTTTTTTTATACTTCATTCTTTTATTTATGATTCTTTCTTAAGAGATGCCATCTCCACCTTTTTCACGTATACCCCTTCTGAGATGGGCTTATTAGAGGATGCCGCAAGGCAAGCAGGGCTCACAGCGGTTTTTACACAAACAGAGATTAGTGCGATATGGGAAAGCCTTGGACACTTTTGAGACACACTTTGGATAACTTGGAATACTTGGAGGAAATAACGAAGAATTTTGCGTGGATGGTCTGCCTGGATGGCAGACTGGTGATGAATGATGCATTTTGGATTTCTTTTCGAACATCCCCATTTGCGGGACACGAGTTTGCGGTATCACATTCGGCATGCTTTATGCTTACACAATATACCAGGCTGGCATTGGGCTCGGCGCAATACGTGTGTATTTGGTTTTTTTTTCCGCATTTTCTTTCCAGGCCTTTGAGAGGACGGAACACCTCCATGGCTGGTTTTCATGAAGCATCTAGCATGGGTATGGGATACAGAAAGAATGAGAGCAAGCTGGCGGCGATCATCGGGGATAGGGTTTAGGAAACTACGGAGTTCCTGTTGAATGATGCATGTTGTCTTATACACACATGATTTAGTTGGTCTTAAATATCAATTTGGTGACTATCCATAATGTATACTTGTTTTGACCATGAGCTCTGCGAGAAATGATGCTATTGTGACCAGGGTCGATGTCGGCACTCTTGCACCTTGCTTTGCATTTTGCACAAAACGGCGTGGATAGAGTAATGAATTGAGTTTATCAACATATTGGCCAGGGTGTATATTCAATACGATTTCACGACATGATGCTTCTTTTCATTGGCTCATTTACGGGCTACTGCATATTGTATATGCATATGGATATTGACTAATATTGGGTAAGAATATGCAAGATGCAACCGGTGGAGGGTGACGTTAGCGGGGAGAAGAGAAAGGATGAGATTTCATGGAGAGGGGGAACTTTTGGGCAGAGATAGGGCAAAGGAAAGGAAAAAGAAGAGAGAAAACACATAGAGCGACGTCCGGGCAGATGGAACCGATGATGGCATGTTTTCTTCTTCTTCTTCTTTCCATTATCGGGAGGGGACGTGCCTCCACTTACACAGAGAATTACGGCATTTTGGGTAGGGATAGTATCAGGCAGCCTGTCAAATTCAGAATCTCACCGAATCGGGGTGTAGCATCCCCCCCTGCCCGGAGTGAAAGAGGGCCGAAGACAAAGGGATTTGGCAGGGAATCAGCTGACCGGATAAAAAGAAGAAAGTAGAGTTTTTTTTTGCATCAAAGGATGGAGAAGGGGATAAACTCGAGCGAGGAAAATAGAGAGCAAGGACGAGATGCTCGTACAGGCTTTGCTCGGCAATGTCTGCGGACGAGTCCCGACTTTTTCTTGCAAGGGGGAGCATTTGGGTGGAGGGTGTGGGTGTACAAGGAGAGAAACGGGCTGCAGTTGCAACGATACTGTGCCGCGGAGAAGCCATCAGATCCATGCAAGGGAAAAAATGATAATAAAAAAAAACGAAAGTCAATGTGGCCACTTTAGAGCGAGCCTTTCAGAGCGTGTCGTTGCATGCGTACTGTGAGGAGAATCCGGGGGGTGTGGGCATTGCATTGCAGTTTTTAGTTGATTTTTCTTTTAAAACAAATTGTGGCGATGGATGGGCGAGGGCAATTGGAGGGAAAGGACCGGGGAGAAGCAAGAAAAAACAAAGCGATGCATCTTTCTGGACCGGGGTTGGGAGGGAGGAAAACACGACAGGGCATGGGATGATTGGTTTTCAGTTGCTGGTTTTCTTTGGTGTTTTTCAAACCACGGGGACATTGTTGGGGCGGGCTTGGCGTGGCGTGGTGGCGGTGCGGTGCGGCCCAAAATTGGGTGGCGTTTTTATTTTACTTGATAGATAGGGGATAGGTACCTTATTTGATGGCAATGGGTTCGGACTATCGAATATGCAAAGATGGGGTGGTGAGTCTCAGCTGAGCGTAAGCGTGGACGGGTGGGTGAGCTGGAAAGAAAACACGTAGAACGGACGCGTATGTGTTGGCTGTGTTGAGGGAATCAATGGTATGATGGATTTGCTGCGTACTTGCATCTACTGTACGATGATGGTATCTAGCTGCATTGGGGGGAGAAGAACGGATTACAACAACCGGGGGAGGGACATGGACGATAACAGCACGAGAAGCAAAAGATGCCGGACTTGATGGAATTCATTTTTCTTCTTCTTCCCAACGAGCAGGGGTAGCTTCAAAAGAGTGAGGCGATGGCCCAGGGCGAAAAGAAAAAAAAAACTCTCGGCATTGGGCTTTTGCTGGGGGGGAGAGGAAGAGGAGGAGTTTTGAGCGGGTGACCTCGTGCATGTACAGGTACAGGCATTGCGGGTGGAAGCATGTACATGCAATCCTTCATGCTGGGGCACGCTGTACCACCTGTATGAGTAGGTACTACCTGGTAGGTACTCTGTTGGTGACGGGCAAGAGAGAGAGAGAGTGAGTGCAGCATGCAGGAACATGGAGCGCCAAGTGGGATTACAGGTACCTGGTGGCACATGGGACGAGGTACAGCTCCATCTGATACGGGGTGGTGCAAGTACAGGTACCAGGGGAAGGGGGCCGGAGGCGACAAGGTCGGGTTCCGTACAGCCCTGCTTCGCGGGAACGGAGGGAAATACTGCTGGGTACAAGGGGGGATGGGATGGTAAGAACACAAAAAAAAAAAAAAAACGAAAGGGAAGACAGATGCATGACAATGATGACGACTGTTTGTTTGGAAACAAAAGTAAGACGGAAGACTAGCCGGGACCGGGGGGTGGTGATCACTATCGTGCAGTCTCTTCTTCCGTCTCTGCCTCTTGTGTTTTCAGGTGTTTTCGCGTAGGTACGAGTACTCGCGCTTCTTGTTCATCCTCGCTTGGATTTGATGGTGTGGAATTTTTGACATGGCCGAAGAAATAGAGGCCCTTTTGCACACGGGGATACTCGGGGGTAGGAGTGGTTGTACCGCAGAGTGGCATCTGGAGTGGCATCTCTGAGCAAAGATGCCGAGGGAGAGCGAGCGAGTTGTTTGGTTTCATGGGGGGCATCTTTTTTGGTTCTTGGTTTGGCATGTGCTCAGTGTGTATGTAAGCCAGCGATTGTGTGGAATAATCCGAGTACGGAGCAGAAGAATTTGAATAATACTCACCAACACTCTATCCATACTGACTACTGCATTGTACTGAGTAACTAGATGCCCCTGGTGAATTAATCAATGTTTGGTTTCGCCGTCAAGAATTAATCAATCAATTGTTTCACCCGTTGTTCAATCCTACTACCTGGTAGATTCACTTGGCTTCTTCCATGTACTTGTACATACGCTGCCGCCCACCCGTAACCGCCCAGACCTGCAAGTACGAGCACTGCAACCAGCTGCTGCACCTTGCCGCTGGCTGCTGTAATGTCTGGTACTACCTGGTAATACTCGTAGGCGCCCAACCACTGGAAGAGCCCCTCCCCAGCGGCTACAGCACTGCAAAGGCGCCTACCGCACAGCCAGTTGTTTCTCGCCAGGGCCAACGAGCGCCAACCGCCTCCTCCAGCGCGCCTAAGCCTGAAACTCCAAACCTCCATCTTGCATCGTCAGCCCACCAAAAGCTTGCCAAACGCTGTGCATCAGCTCCATAGGCCATGACGCATCGCCCGTCCGACGTCAATCGCCCGCCAGTCGTTTTTGCTCAGGTACCATGTCTGAAGAGCTCCGTGGTGCTATGAGCACTTCCCACAGTTACAGTGCAAGCTGCCACCCACCATGACAGCGATTGACAAGCCGACTGCTGACATGGACCTTTACTCGAGGCATCTCCAGTCGTTCCTCCGCGAGTTCCCCCTGGTCTGCACTGGCGCCGAGTGGTCGCCTCTCGAGTGGCTCTGGAGCGTCGACTGGCTGCTTGGCCGTTGTTTCGAACAGCCCGCATTCACTCGCTGGCAGTGCAGAATGCAAATGGAGTGGCCCTTGAAACCTGCTCGTGCTCGACATGGTGAAGAAGCCGCCCAGGCATCGACATCTGGAATGACGCCGCTTCTGAGACGCGCCAGAGCGGATTCAACACGCCAGACTCGTCTGATGCGCGCCTATCTCTATCTATGCATTTACATCGTAGTTGTTCGTATCCTGGGGCCGTCTCTCGTCTCTCATAACCCGCCGTGACTTTGAGCTCCTCCTAGTTTTCTTGTCCCTCCTAGCTTCTTCACCTATTCTTCCACTCTCTATCCTTAACCCTCTACCCTCTACCCTTTATTCTTCCTTCTCTTTTCCTACTTGCTTGCTTGTTCACGTTACATTCATTCTCACATTGACCACCGTTCAGTGCTTGCTTGCTTTCCCCCGTTGTTTGGTGTATGCACTTTGTCTTTGGAACACACATACACATAACTCGTTCTTTGATCCAACACACGAGAGCCAAGATTACCTCGTGACGACTTTCTTTCACACATCGTCCCGAATTTTCCCACTCTTGTCTTGGCTTTCTTTTCTCTTCGGGAGTCTTCTGTTCAGTGGCTTACACGGCTGCTGGTTCAGCCAACCCTACCGACACCGACGCCGACTCTCCTGCCTGGTATCTTACATTGGGCACGATAATTTTATAATCTTCAACTTGGGCATGTTGATCTGGGGGTTTTCTGGTCAAAATACAATGACTACTGCATCACGGTCTGCTCGTCTCATGCTGCTGGTTTCGGCATTGGCATCACTTGTCTCAGCCTCACCGTTAGGCTCTGTCTATATCCAAGACGCGGCGCAGTGCCCTGCTAATTTCCAGTCCTGTCCTTCGGGTCTGCCCAATAACTTTTGCTGTGCCGAGGGAACATCCTGCCTCCCGTTAGCTGGCAACACGACGGCTCTGTGTTGTCCAAACGGCTCGACCTGCGAAAAGATCCAGCCCATCACCTGCGATGTTAACCAGCAAGACCCGAGCAAGAACCAAAACTCGCCCATCAAAACCAGCATCTTTGACGTTGCGTTGGCAAAATGCGGCACCGACCTCTGCTGTCCGTTTGGATATTCATGTTCTGAAGACAACACTCAGTGCGTGAAGAATGCTGACCAGAGCACATCTCCGGAGAGCGCCAGTTCCTCGTCCAGCCCTTCGCAAACAACTGCTTCACAAACAAGCACTTCACCCGCAAGCGCTACATCAGCAACTACTGCGCCGACTTCTGCACAAGCCTCTTCTACACCTGCCTCTTCTCTGGTTGTTGCGCCAATTGCTACCACGCCAACGTCGTTCCCAACGGAAGAATCAACACTCCCATCAACAACACTCCCATCAACAACACTCCCATCAACAACACTCCCATCAACAACATCGATCCCTGACCCCTCCCCAACGGCCGACAAAAGCTCTGGCCCGGAATCAACTCCTTCCAAGGCAACAAACCCAAAGACAGTCTCCATAATTGGTGGTGTCATTGGAGGCTGCGCTGTCCTGGCTGTCCTGGGAGCCATCGTGTTCCTCTTCATCCGTCGCCGCAACCGCCGAAGCAAGAATGGCTACTCCGAGAAGACAGGCTTCGGGCGGATTAAGCATCTCGGTCCCGGTCCTCAAGGCACCAGCATCATGGTCTCCGACCCAATCCTTCAGCCAAACTCTTACCGCGCCGACTTTATCCGCAAAAGCCCCTCCATCAGCTCTTCCATCAGCCAGATGCCTCCGCAGATTGTTCTCAACCACAATGATACATCCCGGCGTCTTTCCATTCCAAACCCATTTGACTCTCCTAGCCCTTCGAACCACTCGCCTACGGGCTCTCAAGGCTCCATTAGCTCGGACGATGAACGAAATGCTCGCACAGGGCACGTTGAGTCTCGGAACCGGTTGGCTCCTATAAGAGCCATGAAAGCTTCCAGTACCCGAGTCTACCCACAGAACGTACCTGGGGAACCAAGCGGAGAGAACATCAACATATTTGCCGACCCCATCATGATGCACAGCACTTATGATAGGCGTCAGACGCACGCCACGACGTTTACAGATCTCATGGTCGAGGCTCAGCTCGAAGACGTACACCGAGGGGAGCCATACCTCGGTCCTCCTGCGATGATGAACAGAATATGACACCGATAATACCTCCCACCCCTCTCTCCCCTCATTTGGTCGAAATCTACATCGCGATACTCCTTTTTTTTTTCCAATTTGTCATTGATAAAGCAGCCTGCTTTGTCCTGGTTAGGTTTTCTTGTGTTTTTTTTGTTTCTCTCGATTTTCCCTTTGTTCTAATCCTCCTCCCTATAAACATTGTGCATACGGCAACGAGAGGCAAAAGGTCTTTTTTATTTTATCTTTTTTTCTGTTCTTTTCTTTTGTCGACAAAGAATGAGTGATACCATGGATTCCAAAGGATTCCATTTATTTTTAACGATATACATTTCCTTTGTGTATATATACCAAGGGCTATGGGCCGGTCAGAGGCAGTATGGCGAGGCGCTTAATTTGATTGATTGATACTTTGGGTGGATGGGAATGAAAATATCGTCATATTGATGGGAGGAAGCTTAGCAAGGAATAGCAACTTCGTTTGAGACGATGGTCTGGGGGGCGGTGATCTGCGATAGTAATAGCTGGCTTTAATACTCCGTATACTCCTGTGGAATATATATAAGAACATAGTATTTACAACCACGAGCGCATGGAATGAGTTTGAGTATGACCAAGACGACAAGTAGAGGTGCTATTAACACGCTATCAACATGTTTTTCCAAAATCATGTTCTCGCCATACATTAACGAATGCCGCTGTACTTGTGTATACCTATATAATAGTAGAATGCACGCAACATCTCTCCCTCTCTCATATACACTATGCACATGTCGCTCGATATCCAATCCCGTATAAGACAAAAAAAAAACGACTCCCAAAAGCAAACGCGAAACCATCACTTTTTCTCTCTTTCCCTCTCTCTTACTTCCGCTTCCTACACGCTATGCCGATGATAGATAGAATGCCCATCAAATAAAAACAAACAAACGCAAAGGCAAAAATCCAAGAAAACAAAAACCGCAAAGTAGACGACCCGGTATCTTGTTTCGACGATATCCAACGTAACAAATCAGAGAGTATCTTTGGTGGAAAAGAAATACTGACAGACAACCACAAGCTCGCTTCCTCACTTCCTTGATGTATTATATATAGATGTCGACAAATCGTTCCATACAACCCAGGGGCTGCGGATGAATAATGAAAAAGCAGTATAAAAAAAGGCATTGTACAAAACATTTCATTACATAACGCTGCACTTCTTGTCTTTATCATGATGGTCCTTGGGCGGCGGAGGCGGCGGCTCCATGTCCATCCAGATGCTGCCAATGTGGTCTTCCTCCGCAATGACCGGCTTGGGGACCTCCTTCTTCTTCTTCTTGGCCGTCCACCCTCGCTTCTTCGCGTCGCGCATATTCTTCGCCGCGCTCCTCTCGGCTCGACTGGGTCGTCGATTTACCGTTGATGGCTGCCGGCCAGGCGAGGCTGGCGGCCCCTTCATCCATGTTGGCAAGACAAGGTTGTTGGCCTGTATGGGTTGGGGACGGCCGGTGGAGATGGTTTCCAGCCTCTCTACCGTGGGAGGTGCAGCAGAGCCACCAGTTGGGCGAGGCCTTCGAGGCACAGGGGCCACAATCGGTAGATCGCCACGACGGGATGTCCTGCGCCCCGGGGGATCAAAAGCACCGCCCACACCACGGGGAGTGCTGATGATCAGGGGTTGGTCAACGTCAAGATGGGCCATATTTGCTGTAGGGAGAGCCAGAGAGCCTGCAACCGGCTGTGGTCTCTGATATTGCTGGTCATATGGCGAGGTCAGACTGCCTGCTAGGTTGAGAGGGTTTCCTTGACTGGCTCTCCGGATCAGCCTGGCCATTTGGTCCGAGCTAGGAGCCGGGGGCAAGGCTGATTGCAATCGCACCGGTTCAGCGTAAGTGGAAGATGGCGTTGGGTAACTTTCAGACGATGGAGATACCAATGGCCAAGTTTGTGCATTCGATAGCCTTCGTATAATATTACTTGAGGTGCTGGTGGTCTCGACTGTTGACATCGGAGAAGTATCGAACCCAAGTCCCGGCCCGCCAAAGTCGAATTCGGGATGCACCAGAGGACCTACAGTTGCTGGACTGCTTTCATAAAGCCCTACCGAAGTGTTCGATGTTGCAGTTGTCGGTCGTGGCCTGACAGAATCTTGAGTAGTGACCATGGACTGGCTGTCTCGACTTCGAGCCCTCATTGGTGAAGCTGGGGGGGACACGTCGTATATGTCCTCGTGATCTAACGGACCAGAGGTGCTTGAAAGTGGTAAATGCAGTTCTTCATCAGGTCGTAGCCTGCTTACCACGGTTGAGTCGCTGGAAGACCTGCCATGGCTTAATCCGTGGTTGCTGAGATGGCTAGCTGCGTGAGCTGCCAACGATAAATTCGGTGGAATCACCAGGGCCGGTGGCTGAGGCGGAACGCTGTGACTTGCCGGCACTGGCAGATACTGCGGCGATTGCGTCGGGAATGAGGCAGGCGCCAAAACTGCGCGGCCTCGTAGAAACGCAGGCGTGTCCCCGGGATCCTCAGCTTGATACGGAGGAGGCGGCGGTTCCCAGTTATCCGCGTCACTCTCGTGAGGATGCTCTCTCCTACCGTCGGCTCGGCGGTACTCTATGGGGCGCCCGTCAGCTGTCCGCGGATTTAACAAGCGGTTGGCAGCAGCGACTGTGGCCGCTCGGCGAAGAGTTGTCCCTGAGCGCGGGCTAGAGTGCGCATAGGGGGCGTCCATGGCTTCCTGTTCCTCAATGGACAAGTACTCCTCGTCTTCGACTGGCTCGCGTATGATTGGCCGGTTTGCGACAGGATTGCGGTTCATCGTCCTTGGTACTAGGGGGTCATCGTCCTCGTTACTCCTCGTTGATTCAGGCGAAATTGGCGACACTATATGGTGGCCGGGTCCAGCTCCGGTAGCAGAGGTGGGAGTGACGGCGATTGTAGCAGTTCGCATCAGGCTGCCTCTCCTCCCCCCTGCTCTTCCTCCACGTTGGACCACCGTCCTCCGCCGCACAATGGCAACCTCGGTTTCTATATCGCGCTGCTCCTCTTCAAGTACCTCCGCATCATCGGTTCCTACCTCAATGATGATCTCAGTCTTGGTTCCGTCGGTGAAAGCATATCCAAAATCCACCAGAGCGATTCTGCCGCCATCGACAAAATCCATGTCCTCGTCTTCGGTGACGAGCCTAGGCCCAGCAACTCCAGAGGCCGTAACAATCAGCCTTTCCTTCAGTGACGAGTCGCCAAATCCTGAAACCCATTTCACGTTGCTCACACCGGTAAGCTCCGACGTTTGATGCCCTGCCACAAAGTTGTTTCTCGACTTATCACACAAAATCTGCCACTGAGGAACTCTTCCCGTGGGAACTGTGGGAACAACAACCTCCTGTGTCCTCGTTGATGGCGATCGCGAGGAATGGCTCTGAGCGCTGTTCCTCCGAGCCAGGTCAGATGCATTGTCGGTGGTTGATGGGACTTCGGGCACCGCAGTCAAGTCCTCAGGCACGCCATAAATCCAAATCTCGCTACCGTGGAAACACGCCGATACCAACTCGCCATGATACGTAGCTGAAGGCAGTGTACAAGGAAGCAGCTTGGCCTGCGAGGTTGTTTTGGGCACTGGCCCGGTGAAGTGCGTGGTGCCATTTCTGAGGTCATCAATCCGAACGGCTCGAAAGCTCTCGAAGCTACGGTCGTATGCAAATGCCCAGGCGGCCTCCTCCTGGCTTCCGTCCTGTAGAAGCACGGCATGGCTGCAGTCTCGACTCGAGTTGGGGAACAGGATGGATGTGGTCCACATTGCGCTGAGGTTCTCTTCGGCTTGTTCCATGGCAAGGGCGCCGGGATCATAGTACGGCGCAGTGATGACGACCGTGCTCGGTGGAGACGAATGTAATGTTGTGCCAAGAATCTGCGTGCCGTCGAAGGAAAAGGCCAAAGCATCTACTGCATCACACTTGACCGCGCGCCTTTCGGTGGAGGACGCTCCGCGGCTCAGTGACTGGACCTCAATGCCTCCATCATATGCTGCGGTGAGAACAGTACCACAGGGCGACAGCGCAATGGTTCGTGGGTTGTTGTCGAGTATCATGGACTGCTTCCGTTTGGGCGGAGATTGTTTCAAATCGTAAATGTCGACTTGCATCTCGGTGGAAAGAACGGCCAAGAGGGTTGCATCGTTGGAAACGCATGCCGATACCGGGCGGCGCAGCATCTTGAACTCGCGCTTCATCTCGATACCCGAGCCTTGGGTATTTATCAAGTACATCCGTGATGAGTTGTAGGCTAATACGAAGTGCCCGTTTGAGGACGTCGTGAAGCCCATGCCCTCTCCTCCCGGACATGACGAGGAGCTGATGGCCTTGGATATGAGCTTGATGATGGTGACGCTCGGCCGCACATAGGACTCGAAGAGGTTTCGCTTGATTTCACTGGCGAACATGCGCCGCAGACGAGGCAAGTTGGCGTCATCGGCGGACGGCAAGCGGGCATGGGACGTGGCATACGTCGGACATCGTGCGAGGTGGTATCGGTAGAGGTGCGGGCGCTGTGACACTTCTCTCCATTTGCGGTTGAGCGTCATGAGCGAGGCGAAGCCATTGGGATCCGTGGCTAGAAGTATCCTGTGATGCTATCGTCAGATTTTTTCCCCCCCTCCTACTCGCTGTTCGTGCTCTCCCGTGCTTCCTTTTGCTCGCATTTTGAAGCCCCGTCTACCACTCCAGGGGAAGAACTGCTCACTGCTCGATGATTTCGTCTGGCAGCCCGTCAAAGGGCGGCGGCGCCTCGAGGACGATGGGCACCTTTTCGATGCTCAGCCGTCGCGCCTCGGGCGGCGCCTCGGCGTCGTCCATGACGCTGGTCCGCTGGCAATCGGCTGCTTATACACGATACGGCATGTCCAGCAGAGTCGGCGAGGGGAGGATCGCGATGCTGGCGGAAAGGCTCTGCAGCAGGTTGGTATAGCAGAGGAAGAGACGGCGGATTGGAGGAGCAGGAAATGGAAGGGTACGAATAGGAATAGGAATAGGAACAGGTAAAGGGAGCGGCGATGAGGCGGAGGAAGTGGCTGAGAGGCTCTAGTCAGTGTCGAGGCAAGGCACCGTGGACCTGAAAAGCACTGGACTTGACCAGACAGTAGAAGCCCAGTAGAGCTGCGGACGCTAGGGGTGTTCTCTGACATGTGCAAGTACTTGGGACGGGGTGCCCGCACGCACCTGCGCCGGTGTAGCTGGTACTTGCTGGGCCCTGTCAATCTGTCTCTAGAAGCTCTCGATTAGCGTCCGCAACGCCCCATGCGAGCACGCCCACTGCAACTGCACTAGTGCGGCAGAGAAGCCCTGGAACAACAGAAGCAGAAGGGTGGGCGAGAGATTACAGCGCAGTCCAAGCACTGAATGTATAGGTTGAATTGGTACCTACCTAGGTTACATAACAATGCCCATAGTACAGAAGAACCATCAGCACTGGACATGATGAGTAAAACTGAGAGGGGAAAAAAGAGGCAGCAAGATGACAATCGATATGTCGCCAAGAATGTTGAGTCTGTTTTCATCATCGCCCATTCATGTACCCACTCGTCTACGGAGCAGGGCCTGGTAGCATCGTAGCTTTGATCCATCCTGCTGCTACTCTACTTGTAGCAATACGGACCCCCAAGCAGGGGTAAATACGGAGAGAAAGACGACGACTTCGTTGAGCATGAGATCTGTATTACAGCACCTACTGTATCTTGGACAACATTTTTATTTTTACTTGCTTCACCGTTTATCCTCGTCTTTTTCTTTATGATTCTAATCCTACAGCATGGCCTCTTGTATCCATCTATACGAATTCAGGGATTACATGCCTCTAATCAACATCCCATCATCCTCATCCTCCACCTCCCTTCCTGAGCATCGCTCTCATTTATTTTGTCTCTATCATACGGACTAAACGGCACCGGCATATTCATCTGTGCGCGCACGAGCACCCGCGGCAGATGCTTAGCTGTCAAACTACGGATTTGGCCGACATGCGCCTCTACACTGAATCCGTCTCTGCTCCCTCTCTCTGAACAGGGGTTGATGGCATGGAATCCCCCCCCAAAGTGTCTTACTGTCTGACGCTCAGCTGCTGATTTCCAATGCGCCCGCCCACTATTGCAACTTGGAATCTTTGCCCAAACAAGCAGCCGTTTTGTCTTCTTCTTCTTCTTCTTCTTCCTCTTCTTGTCCCTTCTTCTTTCTTATCTTGTTTCTAGTCTCTCTCCTCTTTCTATTCCCCTCTTCTCGTTTATGCATGTCCCCTCAAACGAAACCGCATCGTCGATTTCTTCCGCATTAAAATCACACTCTATCAATAGCATCGCATCAGCTCAATTTCCCGAGAATTAGGCTATCCAAGCTAATCAACCTTGGCGCCCTTTCCCCTTCCCGTCACAGATGTTTCTTTTTTTAGCCCAAAGGAACAGAAGAGCAATCGGCTCCTTTTTCTAGCTGCCTGCATCACGTGAGGCTTGCTTTTCACACCACCTCGGTTCGATGAGCAGAGCAACCAAGAGCGACATGAGAGAGAGAGCATGGACTCCAAGTTAACAGCTGCAGGCATGAATTACTCCGTATCTACCGGGGGAAAAAAGGGAGAATGCACTCCGCATCTCAACTCCAATCAGCTGTTTGTTCTTATTTGTCCGAGTTACGGACTATCAAATTCATTACTGCTTAAGCCCCGACCCCTGCACATCTAGAGACGCCTGAAGCAAGCCACCCAACGCCTCTAATCCGCACGGCCTCGGAAGGATTGCGATGCGCAAACGCCTGGAAACTGTGCTTCAGATGGGCTAATTTTTAGTGGGGGGGGGGGGGGGGGGGGGGGGGGGGGGGGGGGGGGGGGGGGGGGGGGGGGG